CCGTGAGTGGCACGACACGCTAATGACTATGCTTGCGGCTCTTGGGTTTGCTCCTACTGCTGACCCGTCGCTGTTTCTGCGCGCCGACACTTCGCTGCCGCCGTTCTACATCCTCGTGTACGTCGACGACTTGGTCTTTGCCACTGCTGCCACTGAGGGACTTGCCCACGTGAAGTCGGAGCTGCAGAAGAGACACACGTGCACAGACCTGGGTGAACTGCGCAACTATCTTGGCTTGCAGATCACCCGGGATAGAGCACGGCGCACCATTACCTTGACTCAGTCACACATGGTGCAGCAGGTCCTTCAGCGCTTCAACTTCACGTACTCCTCGCCTCAGGCCACTCCTCTGTCTATTTGCCACTCGCTCTCAGCTCTGCCTTTGGATGAGTTTGTAGAGCCGAGTGGCCCATACCCAGAGCTTGTTGGCTGCCTCATGTACCTGATGACCTGCACTCGACCTGACCTGTCATACCCTCTTAGCATCTTGGCACGCTATGTAGCTCCTGGGAGACACCGACCAGAGCACATGGATGCAGCTAAGAGGGTGTTGCGCTACCTGTGCAGTACGTCGGGCATGGGGCTCGTGCTAAGAGGACGGGCTCGAGTTGTCCTCACTGGTTACGCAGACGCTTCTTGGGTTGACGACTTGGCTACGCAGCGGTCGTCACAGGGTTACACCTTCAGCCTTGGTTCCGGCTCTGTTTCGTGGCGGTCTACCCGCTCGTCTTCGATTCTCAGCTCCAGTTGTGAGGCAGAGATCTACGCAGGGGCCATGGCTGCACAGGAGTTACGCTGGCTTACCTACCTGCTGATTGACTTGGGAGAGGCGCCTCGTTCTCCTCCAGTTCTGTACGTCGACAACAAGGCCATGCTTGCCTTGTGTCAAGAGCACAGAGTGGAGCACAGAACGAAGCACATTGCTCTGCGCTACTTCCTTGGTCGAGAGTTGCAGCAGCGGGGTCAGCTTCGCCTTGCTTACGTGGCCACTCGGGCCAACACTGCTGATATCTTTACCAAGGCACTTGAGCCTTGTGATCATCAGCGGTTTTGTACTATGTTAGGTCTTGTGCCTACTTGGCCTCACTTGCTCACTTCTTGACTTTGTTTGTACTGTGATCTATATATACTTGCACCTGCATGCTTACCATTGCTAGGTTGAGATCACTGTCTTGTTTGTTCACCTTGATGTATAACCCTGCATGTGAACTGGCCTTGTGGCCTTGTATTTGTGCTCAGAATGCGTGGTGACGTCGTGATCCACCCTGAGCTGACCTTGCCTTGTTCTCTTGCTTGTCCCCCACTTTGCCTATGGGGGTGTGTCAGAACTATACTGTAGGCTATAGTGGGGCACTCTTTATGGGTTACAGTATTGTTAGGTTTTGCCTATACAAACCTTGTACTGTCCTGTTTCTAGTCATTCTCGTTTCATACCTTGTAACACGCAATACTACTCGCCCAGACCAGCCCACTACTGACAAGCCTATTTACCCACGGGTACCAAACGGATCCATTCTTCACAGGATGAAATTCGCAGCAGTTCGCAGCAGCAAGGGGAGTCTATTACGTAAAAGCCGGGACCGACCGCATCTGGGTACCAGGGTATACACTACTACGGGAATTACTGTTACAAGAAGCACACGACGGAGTTACCTCGGGGCATTTCGGGGTAGAAAAAACACGGCAGCAGCTGCATCGGTATTATTACTGGCCTGAAATGTTGACCGACGTTCAACGACATGTGGCATCATGTCCCACTTGCCAGATCATGAAGTCATCACGGAAGCGGCCGGCAGGACAGTTGCAGCTGATACCACCCCCAGAGCGTGCTTGGCAGCAGGTGACAATGGACTTCGTCACGGGGTTACCGGCCAAAGCGAGTGGGAACGACGCGATCCTGGTCGTCGTTTATCGAGTGACGAAAATGGCACACTTCGCAGCCTGCAAGAAATCAATCACAGCCGAAAAAACAGCTCGCCTATTCATCGCCACCGTCGTTCGACTGCACGGGATACCAACAACGATCATCAGTGACCGAGACACGAAATTCACCAGCAACTTCAGGCGGAACCTATGGCAGCAGTTCGGCACGCGACTACAGTTCAGTTCTTCGTACAGACAGACAGACAGAAAGAACAAACCAGACCATGGAGCAAATCATCCGAGCCACGTGCGACGACCCAACCACCTGGGAACAGCAGCTGCCACTCATCGAGTTCGCGTACAACAACTCACCTTCCGCCACGTCCCAACAGTCACCATTTTTCCTGAATTACGGACAAGACCCAACAGTACCCATGACCCCGAATCCTGACAACACAGTGCCACGAGCGCAACAGTTTGCCGAAATTTTACAAGCAGCACGGACCCGGGCAGCAGACGCAATTATAAAATCGAACATCATCGCTAAACGCAACGCCGACCGCCACCGCCGACCTGTCACTTACCAGACCCACAACCTAGTCTTACTCGACACCCAGAACCTCCGCCTACCCATTACTCCAAAACTCTGCCCTCGATATTGTGGGCCATTCCGCATCAGCCACATGATCACACCCGTCACCGCCCATCTCCTCCTCCCTGCTGACTGGTACGTCAGCCCGTCCTTCCACGTCAGCCTGCTCCGCCCCTACGTACCATCCAGCGAACTGCCCCGCAACCGCCCAGCCAGCATGACACAACCGCCGACCGAGCCAATCATCACACCCGAGAAAATTCTGAGCCACAGAGTTCGTGACCCACAAGGAGCTGGACGGATTGAATTCCTGATCCGCTGGAGGGACCGTACACCCACGGAAGACAACTGGGTTCCCCTGGACAGAATCGAAAACCACCCTGTCCTCACAGAGTACCTGCGCAGCCGAAATTTCCGGGATGTACACGCTCTTTCGTAACGAGGGCCTCCTTAGGGGGGGTGGGTAATGTAAGGAAAACATCATTTTCCTTACTTCGCGTCCCTGCTCAGCGCGTACACCACTGTAGCACCACAATCAACACCGTTACCACTCGCAACCCTCGCATCGACAATCCTCCCGCCACTTTCGCGCGTCGCACCTCGACCTCACGGCTTGGCGGGTAACCCGCGCTCCGGGCCTCCGCCTCGACATTTTCCCAACCTCAGTCCCAGGCCCGTCGTGTCAGAGGTCTATTGGTGATCCCCGATTGATCCTAGGGAAGGGTTACAGGCTCGTTGTCCTGGGGGGTTATGGGCGCACTGACCCGCTACTTAACAAGCCTTTTTATCCCAATGGTCTAGTGGTTGGGATTCTGACATGGTATCAGAGCGGAGGTCTCGGGTTCGAATCCCGGTGTGTGCACCTCGGGCATCCCAATGCGGGGGGGTGTCAGAGGTCCACTGGTGATCCCCGATTGATCCTAGGGAAGGGTTACAGGCTCGTTGTCCTGGGGGGTTATGGGCGCACTGACCCGCTACTTGACAAGCCCTTTTATCCCAATGGTCTAGTGGTTGGGATTCTGACACGTCGCGCGTCACCCACAGCTCATTACCGTTACCACTGTAGTTTCACTATATATTCTTCGCTCATGCCTTCGCTCATTGTACTCTTGCTTCGATAGTGCAATTCTCGTTCGATCACTCAATTGCACTCGTAACAATGTTCAAGAATTTGAATTTGCATGATCAGCTCAGCTCACACTTGGCACACCCATATTTGGCCTTGTTCTGCAGGCGCATCAGGCCGCATCCGGCCGCATCAATGTACGTTGATGCAATTTTCCGGGGTTCAGCCCTCCGTAAATTCCCTCTGTTGTGGAGATCGTAAATTGATGAGAGCTAAGTTCAGAGCAAAACTTGTTCTAATAAAGCACTTCACTTACACAGGACCCCACGAAGCACGTCTGGGCGTTCACCTTCCCATGCCGCCGTATCTTTTTGCTCTTTCGGTAAGTGTAGTTTTGAAGGTGCCAGGTGCTGGGCAATTTAGTTGAGGTCTTACGACTGGAAAGTAGACTTTCTAATTTGCACAGATCTGGCCAGAGAACCCTACACAACGGAACAATTTACAGCCCAACCAGGTTCACCTCGTACAATAATCAAACAATCAGTTGCCAGGCTGTAATTTGGGGGGGGAGAGGGGGGGGAAGGGTGGGTCCCAGAGATAATCCGCACTGGGTATATTTGTAAGATATACTGGAAGAAACACCCTGCAAAGAAGGGCTCTGATGGCCAGTTTGATGAAAATGCGGTGGGAGAAGAGAGGGGAGGGGAGGGTAGAGAAACGAATGCACACGCACATTTGAGAGTTTGTTCAACCTCATTGCCTCAGGGCGGATGACCTGATGTCAGACACGAGCTAGGGCGTGTTACATTTTTCTTTTTTTTCGTCCGGATGGCCAGCCGTCCGGACGATTGTGTGGTTACGGAACTCGTTGAATCTCAATAGTGAGTTCGACAGGGTATAAACGACGTCGCATTCGTCGCACTGCCTCCTTACGACATCGTATTGGTCGCAACGTGACCGTGCGACGTCGCATGTTCGCACGTGTCCGGACAGCCGTCCGGACTTTCAGGACTTTAAAAAATGTAACACGCCCTAATATGCTCTACCATCCTCCACAGCTCCATGCCAAACCTGCTAGTCATGAGTTACATTCCGTCTCGTTTGCTTGTTTTTAAAGCCAGGGTCTCATGTGGGAGCCCTCGACTGCAAAGCACTTGAAGCTAGGTAACCTAGTGCTGGCGAAGTTGACTCTGGTTGGGTTGGAAACTCAGCTCGCGTCACTGCCCCAAAAGCAATTGCACAACACTTTTCGGTACTCGTGCTTCTCTTGTGACTCGCCGGCGTCTTGTAGTCAATACGCAGGCGCCTGACCTAGCTTTCTACAATCTCGTGGTTTCCGGCTCGCACCTCGTCAACCGCCGTTCGCGGTACTCCCACATGAAAATAGTCTGAAAATTTTCTATCTAGTACGCCAGCCTGAACCCTCAGATTTTCGTCACGTCAGAGCGACAAAATCCAATCTCCTGGTTCGTCGTCATCATGAAGCGCGGTGACCGTTGTCGTCTGCTGTCTCTCCCGGACGAGATTCTCGAGTCCATCCTCAGCACCGTCACGCACCCATCCGACCGCTGCAACGTCGCTCTCGTCTGCTCTCGCCTCCGCCGCATCTCGCGCCGCACGCCCCACACGCTCCTACTCAAGTTCATGACTTATCAACGCTGGCGCTTTAAAGTCCGGGATTGGTTGGGCGAGTTCGACATTAAGTCGAGGGCATTTCCCCGCATTACCAGTCTCACCGTCCACCTGTCGTCCTGCCTGCGAGACTACCTACTGGCGGGTATTGGCGCCACGTGCGGGCAGCTGAAAGAGTTAAAGCTGTTGACGGTGGATTGGGCGAGTTTTGATGCCACTGCTAGTGGGTGGCGGTCGCTTGCTCGCCAATGCCCGTGAGTGGCCTGCACTGGGGACCTGCTAACGTTCTATCTCTCTCTCTCGTCCCGCTCCCCTTTCGGGTGAAATAAGACGAGTTTTGAGGTGCCCCGAAACTCATCCCGGTCCCTTCAGTCGTTTCCTCCGCCTCGTTACAGTCACTTCAGCAAACCCCTTATCACTACCAGCACTCTTTCGTTGCACGCCTCGTCTCATCAACTCAACGCCCCCCGCCCCGGTCTCTCCCTTGTCCCCGCCATCTTGAGATGGACCCTCATTACAGCCATCTGACCCATCTCGAGCTCAACTCCCGGTTCGCCCGCGATTCATCGTATCAGCGCTACGAAGACAGGCCCGCGCTGCCGCCTCTCCACGCCTTCCCCTCGCTCCGCGCCGTCACCCTCGGCGTCCACCCAAAGGAAATCTCCCCCCTCCTCCGTTGCTCCGCGCTCACCTCTCTCTCGCTCTGGCAACCCACCGGCGGCAACCTTGCTTGCCTCGCATCCCCCTCCTCCTCCTTCTGCTCGTCTCTCCAATCCCTCACCATTCAATCTGCCAACCTAACCAACTACCTCCCCCGCATCTCCTCGTTCACCCACCTCTCCTCTCTCTCCCTCCACTCCTGCACGTACAATCCTGGCGAGCTTCTCTCCCTCTCGCGCTCCCTCCACTCCCTTACCCACCTCACAATTGACGATTGCCCGCTGGCCTGCTGCCGTGCTGTGGCAGCAATGGTTCGAGCCAACCCCTCCCTCTCCAGCCTCTCTCTCTCCGGCAGCTCCTACCGTCTCTTCAGTTCCAAGCCCCTCTCAGCCGTGCTTCGTCTGTCCTCCCGTAAGCTGCAGATGCTCACGCTTTCGGGTCTGCCGTCGTTCCGCCCGGGTATGCTTGCGGGGTGCAGCAGCCTTGAGTCGCTCACTCTCGAACGAGGAGAGGGGTCGTGGGAAGAGCTGTTGGGCATGTTCTTGCGGGTAGTCGAGGCGAAAGGAGGTACGGAAAGAGGTTCGGATACGTCCGTGGGAGCAAGTGCGGGAGTGGGTGCGGATACGCCTGCAGCTGCTCCTGCAGCAGTGCCGGAAGGGAGGATCAAGGGAACCCGGCGCACTTACGTTGATATCCGCGCAGCAGCAGAATCGGCGCGCGCGGACGCGGCCGCAACATGGGGGGACTTGCGGCGGCTGCTCAAGGCGGCCGGGGACCTCACGTGCTCCGCGCACTCCGAAGCAGAGTCCGCGCGCCGACTCCACTTGCTGCGCGGAGTCAAGCCCGCGATTCAAATGGTTATGAGCGCGCTTTCCGCCTGCCAGGCCGGGTCTACCACCGCGTGGGACGCGGACGTTGCAAGGGAGAGGGCGCGCGCTGTGAAACGCGTCTCTGCTGCTGCTGCTGCTGCCGGCGCGACGGGAGCTTTCTCGGCGGAGATTTACAGCGAGGAGGAAGAGGGAGAGGGAGGGGGAAAGTGCGAGGGCGAGGGAGAGGGCGAGGGAGAGGGAGAGGGAGACGCGGGGTTGGGAGGAGACGTGGTGACTTTTTCCGATGAGGAGTATCGCGCGGGGGCCACCCCGGATGCGATTCACAGCTTCATGTGGGAGCAGGATCCCAGTGACGGCATGCCCGAGGCCTCGCGGGAAGAGCTGCTGGCGATGCTGAATGCTCTGTCGGGGCAGCTGCGCCCGCGTCTCACGGCCATGCATGAGAACGTGGAGTTGGTGCTTGCGGGGGAGAATGTCGAGGGCGGGGCAGCTGCGGCACTAGCAGCCGCGGCTGGGGCGGCAGCAGCGGCGGGTGGGGCGGCCGCAGCAACAGCAGGTGGGGCGGCAGCAGCAGCGGGTGGGGCGGCAGCAGCAGCGGGTGGGGCAGCAGCAGCAGCGGGTGGGGTGGTAGCAGCAGCAGGTGGAGCGGCAGCAGCAGTGGGTGGGGCGGCAGCAGCAGCGAGCGAAGCGGCAGGGGGTTCCCCAGGCGGGGAGCTACAGGTGGAAGCTTCACAGGGGCAGGGCGTGCAAGAGAGAGTGCAGAGAGAGGGAGTGCAAGAGGAGGGTGCACAACGGGAGAATTCTCTCGAACAGAGGAGTCAAGAAGGTTCAGGCAGCAGCAGGCTAGCAGCAGCTAAGGCGCATCTAGAATTTGAAAGGGCCACGCCAGTGGAAGTGGTCTGCCCTTGCCTGGCCTCTCTGGTCCTCGAAGACATTCAGTTTATCCCTCTCTCTGAGCCTGCTTCTGAAAGTCTTCCCTCTACATGCCCCCTCCTGGTTCCAGTTTCCCGTACTCCTCCCTGCTCCAAGTTTCGCCCCTCAACCTCCGTATCCTTCCCTGGTTCCACCATAAGTGCTTCTCCCGGTCAGCAGCAGCAGCAGCACCCGTTTGAAAGCATTGCCCTGGCGGCTGTGTTTGGCGGGCTGCGGCGGTTGGCAGTGGTGCAGTGCGGTGGGGTGGGGGAGGAGCAGCTGAGGGCAGTGCTGCGTGCATGCCAGGTGTTGGTGGAGCTGAGAGTAGAGCACTGCCACGCCATGTCCGATAAAGTGCTGCTCTCATGCCCAATCGACACTCTCACTCATGCCACACTCGTTGCTTGCAACGGGGTCACGTCTGCTGGGGTGATCGGGTTGCTGGGAAGTTTCCCAAGGCTGAGGCAGTTGAAGGTGGAAGCGGGTAAGGTTCCTGAACGGGCTCGGAGGAAGTTGCTGCGTGCTGGTGTGGTCGTCAGGGGGGTGTGAGAGAGAAGCAAGCTCGTGACACCAAGTTTGGATGAGTCGTTTTGATGTTTCATTCCATAGCATGTGTATGAATTTTGTAACTATGTTATTATCCATGAATTAATGGCACAATGATATGAAATAGCCACGTTTGCATTGAGGTCCCCATTTTGTTACAAACGGGGACCGCTAATACCACAGACGACGAACCTTGTACAGTGTCACATTTTTCGCCAAGATTGCATGTTCAAGAATTCGAATTCCGAAATTGACACGCACATACCCCACGGGGCGCGTGAATGCTCCGTCAGTGGAGTGCGCACAAGGCGAGGGACAGAACAACACCAAGGGAATGGCAGTGAATTTGAGAAGAGACAGGTAGAAAGGTGGGGTTGGGGAGCGGCAGAAAGAAACGGTGACCCAAGCGCACCCCAGCCATCCCTCTTTACCATTTCTCCACAACTCCACATTACAAGCTGCTTCTTATGACTTCCTTCCGTCTCGTTTGCTATTCCTAGATTTATGTGTGCTTGCCTTGTAACTAGCCATCTTGCAGTCGCACAGTTTCGTGGTTTCCAGCTCTCGCCTCGTCAGCGGCCGTTTCGCTTCTACCACATCTTTGGAATCTGCGAAGTTCCATCTGGTTCGCCAGGCTGAACCCTTATATTACCATCACGTCACAGTTACCAATCCAATTTCCCGGTTCGTCGTCATCATGAAGCGCGGTGACCGTTGCCGTCTGCTGTCTCTCCCGGACGAGCTTATCGAGTCCATCCTCAGCACCGTCACCCACCCATCCGACCGTTGCAACGTCGCTCTCGTCTGCTCGCGCCTCCGCCGCATATCGCGCCGCACGCCGCTCTCGCTCCTCGTCGAGTTCATGCCTTACCAACGCTGGCGCTCCAGATTCCGGGATTGGCTGGCCGATTTCGACAATCAATCGAGGGCATTTCCTCGCATTACCAGCCTGACCGTCCACCTGTCGAACACCCTGGGAGACTACCTGCTGGCGGGTATTGGCGCCACGTGCAGGCGGCTGGAAGAGTTAAGACTGTTGGCGGTGGATTTGGGAAGTTTAGAAGCCACTGCTAGTGGTTGGCGGTCGCTTGCTCGGCAATGCCCGTGAATGCCGGCCTTGGGGATGTTATGAGTCGTCTCAATTCCCATGAGTGGTCTGGGTAAGGGATGTGCGGACTGTATCCATCTACCTCGCTCTCTCTGCCAACCCAAGCATTAAAAATCGCCCTGTATTTGCATGCAACGGAGGTACAAGGGAAGAGAGAATAAAACGTCCTGTATTTTGCCAACGATGCAGGATTGTCATGATTTCCCCCCTAAAGGCTTGGACTGCTCTCGCTCTCTCGTCCCCTGCCCCTTCTGTCGCCTTTTCCGCCTTGTTACAATCACTTCAGCGAACCGGTTCTCATCAGCACCACCCTTTCTTCGCACGTCCCATCAACTCAACTCCTCCCTCCCCGGTCTCTCCCCGGCCACCTCCTTCCAGCCAGCTGAGTCATGTGGAGCTCAGTTCCCGGTTCGCCCGCGATACATCCCGTCACCGCTACGAGGATAGAGACGCCTTGCCGCCTCTCCACGCCTTCCCTTCCCTTCGCGCCGTCACCCTCGGCTTTCACTGCAAGGAAATTCTCCCGCTGCTCCGATGCTCCGCGCTCACCTCGCTCTCCCTCTGGCAGCCCATCGGCGGCGACCTTGCTTGCATCGCCTCCTCCTCCTCCTCCTTCCGCTCTTCTCTCCAATCCCTCACTGTCGAGTCGGCCTACCTGACCAACAACCTTCCTCGCGCCTCCTCATTCACGTCCCTCTCCTCCCTCTCCCTCCACTCCTGCACATTCAACCCGGGCGAGCTTCACTCCGTCTCGCGCTCCCTCCACTCCCTCACGCACCTCACCATCGACGATTGCCCGCTGGTGTGCGGCCGTGCCGTGGCAGCAATGGTTCGAGCAAACCCTTCCCTCTCCACACTCGCTCTCTCCGGCACCACGTACCGTCTTTTCAGTCCCAGTTCCCTCTCAACCCTGCTTCGTCTGTCCTCCCGTAAGCTGCAAACTCTCACGCTTTCGGGCCTGCCGTCGTTCCGCCCGGGTATGCTTGCGGGGTGCAGCAGCCTTGAGTCGCTCACTCTCGAACGAGCAGAGGGGTCGCTGGAAGGGCTGCTGGGCATGCTCGTCAGGGCGGAGGAGGCCGGGCGAGTGTGGGTGGAACGAGGTGCAAATACCCCTGCGGGCGCGGGTGCGGGTGCGGGTGCGAGTGTGGGTGCGGTGTGGGTGCGGGAACGGGAACGGGTGCGGGTGCGGGAACAGGTGCCCCGGCAGCTGCTGCTCGTGCAGCGGCGGCGGAGGGGAGGATTAACGGGCCGGCGCACCTACGTCGATATCCGCGCAGCAGCAGCGTCGGCGCGCGCCGACGAGGCGTCAGCATGGAGGGACATGAGACGGCTAGTCAAGGCGGGGGGGGACCTCGTGCGCGCTGTGCAGTCGGAAATCAACGCCGCGGTGTGCGACACAGACATCGCCATTAAATTGGTCATCGACGCTGTTTCCGCCTGCCAGTCCGCAACCGCGGGCGTCTGCGACGCGAGAGCTGCGAGAGATAGGGCACGCGCTGTGGCACGACTCTCTGCCGTCCCTGCTGCTGCTGCTGCCGGCACGGCAGGAGTTTTCACAGCGGTGTTTCACGAAGAGGAGGAGGAGGAGGAGGAGGAGGAGGAGGAAGAGGGAGATGCAGACCTAGGAGTGTGGAGCCCGGTGGTGTTTACAGACGAGGAGTATCGTGCTGGGGCAACCGCCGGTATGATTGAAAAATGGATGTGGGAGGTGTCTCGTGACGGCATGCCCCAGTTGTCGCTTGAAGAGTTTTGCGCGATGCGCGATGCCTTGTCACAGCAGCTGCGGCCGCATTTCACGGCCATGCATGAGAGTGTTGACGCGCTGTATGCGGGGGAGGATGTTGAGGGCGGGATGGTTGGGGCGGTAGCAGCAGCAGCGGGTGGGGTGATAGCAGCGGCAGGTGGGGCTCCAGCAGTGGTTGGGACGGCGGCAGCAGTGGCAGCAGCATTGGGTGAAGTGGCAGGGGGTACCCCTGGGGTGGAGCAACAGGTGGAAGCTGCACAAGGGCAGGGCGTGCACGAGAGAGAGGGAGTGCAAGAGAGAGTGAAGAGCGAGGGAGTGCAAGAGAGAGTGGAGAGCGAGGGAGTGCAAGAGAGAGTGCAGGTGGAAGAGGAGGGAGGCCAATGGGAGGGATCTCTAGGGGAGGAAAGGCGAGAAAGGGCACAGAGCAGCAGGCTGGCATCAGCTAAGGCGTGCGAAGGATCTGAGAGGGCCACGCCAGTGGAAGTGATCTGCCCTTGCCTGGCTTCTCTGGTTCTGAAAAGCATCGAATTCATCCCTCCTTCCGAGCCTACTTCTGAAAACCTTCCCTCTACATGCCCCCTCCTGGTTCCAGTTTCCCGTTCTCCTCCTTGCTCCACATTTCGCCCCTCAACCTCCCTCTCCTCCCTTCATTCCACCCCAAGTGCTCCTCCCAGTCAGCAGCAGCACCCGTTTGAAAGCATTGCCCTGGCGGCTGTGTTTGGCGGGCTGAGGCGGTTGGCAGTGGTGCAGTGCGGTGGGGTGGGGGAGGAGCAGCTGAGGGCAGTGCTGCGTGCATGCCGGGTGTTGGTGGAGCTGAGAGTAGAGCGCTGTGATGCCATGTCCGATAAAGTGCTGCTCTCATGCCCAATCGACACTCTCACTCATGCCACTCTCATTGCTTGCAACGGGATCACTGCTGCTGGGGTGATCGGGTTGCTTGGAAGCTTCCCAAGGCTGAGGCAGTTGAAGATGGAAGCAGGAAAGGTTCCTGAACGGGCTCGGAGGAAGTTGCTTCGTGCTGGTGTGGTCGTCAGGGGGGTGTGAGAGTGAAGATGTCTCGAGCATGGAACTTTATTTGAAGGTGTGCAGGTAGCAAGACAAGAAAGTGTTTTTCTTCCGCAGTAGCGCTTAGATTCTCCTCAGGGTCCAACTCTCAAATCGTGCAAGCAACACCTTCAGCATGAGTCTGCTTCTTGAACTACCAGGACTCGTTTCCTATGCGTGCTACTGATACAGCATACCGGTACCATACCGAACCGTACCGTACCGTAGTTGTTGCAAGAGCTGTCTCCACTTAGCCCCACTTAGCGCAACAGCAACATAGGGAATGGTACGATGGTGGTTGATGGCTGGTTCACGGCAGAGCAGAGGGTTGAGAATGACGCACAGCAAGGTAGATGCAAGGGTGTAGTGTTCATACACCGGTAATGGTATTGTGTATTTAGTTTCTCCATTTTGTAGAAAAACATTAAAAAGAAAAAAGCCTCATACCATGTATTCTATGTTGGGCTGAGAAAAGCCCTTAGGATCTTTGCAGGGGTGAACTCTGGGTAGGACTGATGTAATAGCGGAAGCGTTTAATGAAGTATTGTGAACCACCTTGCGCTGGTATGTGAGGGCAAAGTAGATTGATTAAAGCAAAGAGATACAAGATTATATAAGAGTACAAGGAATACGAAGAGATATGGTTGCAACTGCTTTACTGTTGCTGTTGCGGTTCGATACAGTGACGACTCGGGCAACTGCTCTATAACGAGTCAGTTGTGTGTCCTTGCTGTCGCGCTGTACTTGTCAGGTCAAGGGTCGCTGACCTTTGACTTTCGCGTAACCTCTAGCAACCGCTCAACCTCCGAGGGTTGACTCGCCGGTGCTTCGATATACTTCGCTTCGCTTCTGACTTGGTGTTTCGACACGACAGAGGCGCTTATAGTTAATTGTTTCCAACACTCCCCTTCGCTTCTGGAGTGTCGCAGTTGGTGACGTGGCTCTGTCCAGTCAGCAGCATGCAGTACTCGAACTTCTGCTTTCCGAGCTTCTTGGTCAAGTAATCAGCTGCCATCTCGGATGTGGGGCAGTATGACAGCTCGAGTCTTCCTTTCTCGATCTCGTCCTTCACGAAGAAGTATCGCAGGGTGATGTGTTTTGTCCTGTTCGCGAAGCCGCTCTTGTTGGCTATGCGAATGGCCGACTGGTTGTCGCAGAACAGGGTAAAGTTTGGTAACTGTGCTAGCTTGGCTTCCTCCAGGAGTTCGCGAAGGTACAGTCCTTCCTTGGTGGCTGAGCAGAGTGCGATATATTCTGCTTCAGCTGAAGAGAGAGCGATTAATTCCTGCTTACTCGACTGCCAGGAGATGGGACCGATAGGTTCGAAGCGATAGATGTAGCCAGTGCGCGAGCGTCTGTTATCGGAGTCGCCGGCGTGATCGGCGTCGACGTAGCCGATTAGTTTAGGTGTCGACGTTCCGTTCTTGTGATAAGTCAGGCCGATCGTCGGAGTGCTAACGAGGTAGTGAAGAGCGCGGTCGAGTTCCGCCATGTGTTCTGCTTCAGGCCTTTTGAGGTAGGTGGCAAGTTGGCTCGCAGAATACGATAGATCTAGACGGCAAGTGACGGCTGCGAAGAGAAGGCAGCCTAACTTTCTTTGGTAGTCGCGTATGCCGGCGGGTCTTAGCGGAGTGGATCCTTCCTTGTTGTTTCCTGCCGCGTAGCGATATGGCGTGGAGATGGTAGTCGGTGTGAGTGCGAAGCGTTTGGCGATGGTGTCGGCGTATTTCGCGGCGTTGAGGTGGATCGCGTCTTCCTCTTCCCGGATGTTGAGGCCGAGGTACTGTGTGACGGTAGATGAGACCGTGAGCGTGAGGTCTTGCTGCAGCTCCCCTTCGAACCAGGTTGTGACATTGTCGGTCGAGCCGATGTAGAGCAGATCGTCTACGTAGACGATTAGCAGGATGTAGTCGGTGCCTTTCGTAAGCCGGTACATGCCCTGATCGTGTGGTAGTTGCTTGAAGCCGATGCGAATGAGGCGAGCGTGCAGGTATTGTTGCCACAGTCTTGGAGCCTGCTTGATCCCGTGGAGCGACTTCAGCAGCTGGCAGACTTGGTTAGGCTCTCCGTTGGAGCCGTGCGGTAACTCGACGAAGATTTCTGCGTCGACAGGTGCGTAGAGAAATGCGTTCGCGACGTCGATTTGTCGCAACTTCTTCTTCTTCATGGCGGCGATCGCGAGGAGGATTCGCAGTGAGGTATGTCGGCTGACCGGGGCGAATGTCTCGGTGAAGTCGCGTCCGTGTTCCTGGTCGAAGCCACGTACTACCCAGCGTGCCTTGAATTTGTCGATGGTGCCGTCTGCTTTTGTTTTCACTCGGAAGACCCACTTTCCGGTGAGTACCGTTTTGTTGCGTGCCATGCTGATGGGAACCACTTTCTAGGTGTTCCGCTCCTCTAGTGCTTTCGATTCCCTGTCCATGGCTTCGCGCCACTTTTCCCTGTGCTCCCCCCCCAGAGCCTGCTGAACCGTCACAGGCTCCTTAGGAATCGCAGTGCCGTGGACTGCGGTGACCAGGCCAAGTATCTGAAGGCCACTCTGTGTGTAGCGGGGAAGTGTGGTATCCGCGGGATAAGCTGCTTCGTCACCTGCTTCTGGGTCAGGTATGAAGTTGGGCCCTATGCGTTCTGCTTCGTTGGTATTGGCTTCTGCAGGTGTAACGTAACCGTTGTCGGCGAAGTGATAAAATACTTCGGCGTTTATGCTTTCGCGAGGGTTTTTTCGTCATCCATTGGGACATCGACGGAGCAGTACGGGAGAGGTCCGGCTTCCTCCGAGGCTGCGTCCACGTTCTGCTCGTCCCAGTCAGCTTCGTCCGCTGCGGAAGCGAAGGCTCGGTCTCCACGAAGTCCACTAGTGAGGTCGCGTTGTTCTTCCACGTCGGCTAGGTAGGAGTCGAGAGTGAGTCGTTCGTAGAAAATCACATCACGTGCTGCCACTGTTTCCTTGGTGTGGACGTCGAAAATCTTCCATGCGTTGTAATTCTTTTCGATGCCCAGGTGTAGTCCCCACTGAGCGCGTTGGGAGAATCGGCCGGCTCGTGCAGATGGGGGTCGGTACTGTACCATGCAACCGAAGACTCGTAACATTTTTTTGCTGCCCAATTTTCCTGTCCACAGCAGATGCGGTGATGCGTTGTTCGGGAGCGATGATGATGAGAGCAAGTTGTGCAGCATGACGGCGTGGTCCATTGCTTCGGGCCACTGGTGGTTGGGTAGCCGCATGCCACGTAGCAGCTTGCGCATGGTGTTCTGGAGGGTCCTGTTCATCCTTTCTGCTACACCCTGCTGTTGATGGGCGTAAGGAAGGGAGATGAGCTTCTTGATTCCCTTCGTTGCCAGGTAGTCCTTGAAGCGTTGTGAGGTGTATTCTCCGCCTCCATCTGACTGAAAACTCTTTAGTTTCACTCCGGACTCTCGTTCTGCTGCTGGAAGCCAGGCGACGAAGGCTTCGAAAGCCATGTTGCGACTCGGAAGGTTAAGGTGCCAAACGTATCGGGTGGCGGCGTCGATGAAGGTGATGGTGTAGTTGTAAGCTCCTTGTCCTGGTATGCGATTGTATAGGATGTCGCTGTACACCTTTTCAAGCGGTGCGTATGCTGGTGCACTCGGGTTGTGGTGAGGGACAAACGGCTGATGCGGTAAGTCGGCTTCAGGACATGTGAAGCACGTCCCTTTTGCTCGTTGGAGTTCTCTCCCGTCATGTAGTAGGAGCGAATCTTTGTCGAGCACTCCTGCTCTTATCGTGTTGTTTAACATTGTGTTGCTTGGGTGTCCCATTCGTGCATGCCAGATTTCTTCGCTGGCGCGGTGTCCGGGTGAACGTCGGTACATGTCGGAGTTGGAGTAGAAGCTGGCGGTGAAGTTGGCGCTTCGATGAACTTCTCGTGGTGCTGGGTGCAGTTGCTGCGCGGGTGTCGGTGGTGTGTCGTCAACGAAGATCGGTGCCGTTGAAGGACCAGCGATTGGTGTTGATGTTGCCGCTGTTGTCTCCGTTGTCTCTGCTGCTACCGTTGTTGTCTCTGCTGCTGCCGATGTTGTCTCTGCTGCTGCCGATGTTGTCTCTGCTGCTGCCGAATGTTGAATTGTCGCTAACGCTCTTGTTCTTTCTGCTTCAGGTATCGTGTGTGAATACCAGAAACCGCCGGGGCTGAAGTCTGGGTCAAGTTCCGGTGGATGTGTCCAAGAGGTGAAGGTGACGATGCCGTCGCTGTCGGCGGTGCCGAGGTCTGGAACGAAGTCGAGAACGAAGACATTGTTCTTCAAGACTGCTTTGCCGATGTAGAGACCTCCTCTCCCGTGGTACAGCTTGAACTCCTGGGTGGTGCTGTCTGCTTCGAGGTGAATGCCTTTTGCCATCAACTGGCTGACGCTCAGTAAGTTGTAGCCGAGTCCCTCCGCGATTAATACCTTTGACATCTGTAGTATAACGTTTGTCTCTCTCGACTGAAGTTGAACCACGCCTTGTCGTCGTGTGCACAGGTTCTGGTTGTTGGCGACGGTGATGACTACTTCGCGTTGGAGTTGGTACTCTTGCTGCACGAAGCGTCCTGAAGAGCACATGTGCTGTCCGCAACAACTTTCCAAGAACCAGGTGTCTTTCCCGGATGGCTCGCTCTGGGCGATGGCTGCGTACGTTGGATTCGGTTGAAGTGACTCGCGGCGAGGTGTGGTGTTGTCGAGTTGTTCTTCCGGTGAGTAGTGTGGCGGTGACTCGGTGATGCAGGAGTCTGACAATCTTGCCATGCAGCTGACGATATTTCTTGTTCCTTGTGCAGATTGTGTTGACGGCGATGTCGTTGAGGACTGCAGTTGACTTGTGGGGTTCGCTTGCGTGGAGGCGACTTGACTGCTTGAGGGTCGAAGCTGTCGTTGTGGCGGTGTTGACAGTTGTCGATTCGGGCAGTGTGTGCGCGGGTGTCCTGACGTCTTGCAGAGATGGCAGAACGGAGGTACGGGCTTTGGGTGTTGTCGGTTGTTGTTGTTGTTGTTGTAGCGTC